AGATGGACCTGCTGGAGCCTCTCAATTTAAGACATGTTTTTCCCCAATTCTCCATCCTCATTCTTGTGGCTGTTTGCTGAACCCTCTTCCAGCGTCCTTAACCAAAGCGGAATCACATCTTGCCAAACATCATGAGCTTGGCTTAAGATTGCTTTAAAAATAACAGGAGTTGTGGGTTTTCTAATGTTTCATCTGGCTTTGGAAGCTGTAGGAGGATGCCTTCCACCCCCAAAGCATGGGTGAACTTTGCAGGGTCATAGCCTGGACTTGAATACACATAATAGGAGATGGCGGCCATTTTAGCAAGGGGAAAATTTGTGTGCTAGCACCTTTCATTGTGTTTGCATGAGGTGGGTGAGCGATATCTCCCGAATTGTTAGAGTTTTGATAAAATCATGAGACTTGGAAACAAGGGAAGCTACACAGTGAAGTGAGGTGTGTCTTCAGCTAAGCAAGCAGTATAATGATGTACAGGGGTCGATTCTTTGAACTCCTGTTAGTGCTGCAATAGAGGTTTTCAAGCTGTTGGTGCTGATCTGTAGTGATTTAGCTACTCATGGTGGTAGCTCTGCCTCTTTGTTTCCCATTAATCAATGTTACTAAGACATTTCATTGTACCCCAAATACTTCCCTATCATTACTGTCTTCTATAAACCATTGCTTTAGCTGGCAAGGAAGCTACTCTACAAGATGTGAATGGTATGAGAGAAGGTCTACAAATAAATACCACCATTAAGATGTGGCTGAAACTATGACCAATTCTGAGGGCCTCTGTTTCACACACGTCTGTTGTGGTTTTTTTGTGGCAGTGACCCAAACGGCCGCTAACTGAGGCAAAACCTTCCACCCACCCTTTACATATTTCTATACATTTGTATTTGTATCGAAGCATTCATGGAAGTACTTAAGACCCAGTTAGACAAAGCCTTGGCTGGGATGATGTAGTTGGGGCTGGTCCTGCTTGGAGCAGGGGGTTGGACTAGATGTGACCTCCTGAGATCCCTTCCACCCTCATTTTCTATGGTACCATTAGTGAAGTTGATTAGCCACAGGAACAAATTACCAAAGGTTGTGGTAGATTGCCTATCTCTTGACCTCTTCAAATTAATGCTGCATATTTTTCCGGGAAAATATTGTTTAGTCACAGACAAGCTATTAAGTCAGAATGGGGAAACTCAGTAAAATGTTATGGCCTGTGATAGGCAGGTGGTCAGACCAGGAATTTAAACAATCCTTTCCTGGCCTTAGTATCTATAGATTTGTTACTTCTATGTGAATCTCTGGAAGCAAACACTTGAGCCCACACTTTCAAATGTGTCTTCCAGTTAACTTGCCTTATATTTTCAGTTGTGCCATTTATGGTAACTTAACAGCGCCTGAATTTTCAGTAGGAGGGTGCTTGAGATTTGCTGAAAAACAGGTTCCCAATTCTCTTCTGAAGTGTTCAGCTTTGATTGCTTTAACAATGAGGTACATTCAAGCTACCGTCATTTCAATGAATACTTGCAATCCTCCAAACTGGCCAAGATCGTCCTTTGGGCACATCTTGTACTCATCACATACATCTGATATTTTTTATGAGGATCAAGTCATGCATGCATCCCAGTATAATGTTTAATAAACAGGCAGTTTACTCCCTGTCTGTGGTTATTTCCTTTGGAATAGCCTGTGATACTCTTGCAACCTTAGCAAATAGTTAGGGGCGGTTTACGGTTGTAATGGTATTTTGGAAAAAATGTATCTGAACCAGATTGAAGCTACACAACTATAACAGCAATATGCAGCAGAATGCAAACACCTGGCTCAGTTCCATCCAGATGTGCAACCCTGGGTGCAACTACACATGCATTAACGCACTTTAGTTAATGTGCATTAAATCTAATACCACATTGTGAGGTACTAGGAACATGTGCATTAACCTGTCTTAATGCGTATTAACTAAAGAGCATGGTTTTTAAGTGACGCTTAATGCACATTAGCCTATTTTCATTCGCATTAAGTAAATAGCACAGGTTTTTATGTGATGCTTTAATGTGCATGAAAATAGGCTAACGTACATTAAAGCGCACTTGTAGACAAAGTCCTACCCTTGCAAGAGAGGGCAGAGTTTGCTCTATAGCATGCTGCACATCCATTTCTGGTAGTATTAATGTAGACAATTCCTGTTGAACCACTCTACCCAGATCTTCAGTAGGAAGTGTCTATTCTTTGACATAAAAAGCCAACTTTTAACAGTCAATAGCAGTCACTGGTCCCTGATCAAGACTTAAAATAGAGACCTTGTGTTGACAGGCCAGGTTGGCTTGGTCAGCCTGGAAGTTAGAGAACTGGGGAAAATCACAGGTTACATCTTATTGATTTTCAGTAAGAATCATCTTTATATTTTTTACAGCCAAATCCTGTGTCTTCTTGGCAAGGTGAGACAACATGTAAGACCTTCAAACTTCAGTGCTAGATTCACTTCACCTGGAGTTTTTCAAGGTCTCTGATAAACCTGGCCTATCTAGCTCTCTGAAAAATGTTGAATAGGGAAAAAAATCAGATAACTGAATGTTGGAGAAAATTGGCATCTTTACACAATTAGTTGAAAAGCAAGTCAAAATACTTTGGATATGTGGTTAGAGAAGAGGGAGGCAGCCCAAAGAAGGTAGTCACTAAAGGATGTGCAAAAGGAACCAGAAGGTGAGGTAGATCAAGAAGAGCATGGGTCAAGGTCATAGAGGAGTCGATGGAATCGGGGATCCACTGGGCAACAGGATTACCAAAGAATAGACAGTTGTGGAGAGATCTGGATTATCCTGCCACTGGCCCTCAATTTGAAGGCAGTTTGGTTTGGGACAGACATCAGAACAGTTTGAGCCAAATCAGTTAAGTCCAATACTGTGTTCAACCAGGTTTATCTCAAACCAGTTTCAGCCCTGGTTTATGTGCACTGAACATCTGTTCTGTGACAGGTTTAAACCAGTTTCCGATCCCTTAAACCGGGTTTTGTGTAATGTCTGTCCCTAGCCTTTATGTCTACTACTACTAATGTCTCTGACACAACTTGGATTTTTACAGCTGCTAAAAAGAGATGGTGTGTTTGATAAATTCAGCTCTGGATTGGATGTTAGGACACCTGACTGCTTTTCCCATCTCTGCTGCATCCTTGTTATGTGATCCTGAAGTCCCTCCTTTGGCAAAAACAGGGCACCTTCCTTTAGTGAATCCCAGAAAACTGAGGGTAAGTAGTGCTCTGTAAGGCCAGGTGGTGTTATAAGAGGCCATTTATTATTTGCATCACTTTAGCACTAGCGAGGTTCAATCCTAGGCCATTGCAATGTACAAAGCAGAACAGGAGAGAAATCCCAGCCCCAAATCTACCTTTACGGGATGCAGCAGCCATATGTATGCAATCAAAGCGGCTGTAAATCAGACAGGGCATGGTGGGGACCACTCCAAACAGAAGCGAGTTGCTACTCCTGTGCAGATTTCATGCATGTCACATTTAATAAAACCCCACTCCAGTCCTATTCAGTTTTATAGGCAGCATGAGTGCTCTTCTTTCCTCTGCTTTTGCTTTCATTTGCAATCCCAGCTATAGCTCGAAGCACTGTTTGGAAACAGGCAGGATGAGTTCCACATTGGCAGCTGGTCCTAAAATTAACAGAACAACAACAGCCACTAAAAGCTGAGATTTGACGCTGCCATTAATACATTATCATGGCAAAAAAAAAGGGGGGGGCTGGGGCCTGCCAGCTTCTTTGACAAGTGATAGTCCCACTCCTGACTTTGCAGCTGTGCAGGGAGATTACGCACATCCCCCCGTGCAAAGCAGCTTTCCTCTCGCCTGTGACTTCGAGGCTGCAGCAGCTGAATGTACCTGCTCAAACCCAGCTTTTCCCCTCCAGGCTTTAATGCATAAAAATATGACCTGCAAAAAGCCCGCTCTTTTTTAATGTGTGAAAATCCCTGATGGGGGGCTTAGCAAATGAATTCATTCACACAGGGAGAGGGGGTTGTTTTCAACGGGAGATGGTGTATTGTGGAAGGGAAAGAGCCAGCTTAGCAATCGCACTTCTCTCTGAAATTAGTCTGCCTGCTCTTGCTACGTGCTGCACATCGGGTGGCGGTGAGTGGAGGAGATTAGGGACAGAGAGTATTTTTTCCCTGCTGTCTCAGTCTGTGGATGCTACACGTTTTACAATGCTGCTGCAGCCCGTCTGGTTTAATCTTTCCTCTCTTGTTCTAAGTTTCCCAAGTTGTGTTTCAGAGTCTTGCTCTCACCAGTACGGGAGAGAAAAACCTGCATCGAAACAGGGCAGCGTGACCCTACAGTCGCCCACTACGACCAGGGCCATGAGCAGCACCAATGGATTATTTACCAATTAAACTTTATCCGTCGACGCTCTGTGCGAATGGCCACTTCAGTCCCACGGTATTGGTCCCCTTCCCTGATGGGCTGCTGGACTTCTTTTTTCAATAATCAAGGATGCGGCAAATGACCAATACTTTTATTCATGCACAAATAATCTGGCCGGTGCAGTGCCAGCCCATCGATGAAATGAGAACATCACCAGCGACCTGTCCATGGGCGGAAAATCATTGACTTTGCTCTCACGGCGGTCAGGCAAAGGGACCCTCGAAAAAGGGCAAGAATCACAACTGGAATTTGGGGAGTGAATAGGTTTTCCTGTAATCTGAGCTGCTCTACCGGACAAAGAGCAAAGGAGAATAACGGTCCTCAATATTCCCCCTCAGCTGCACCTGCTGTCCGTCAGGAGCTCGGCCAGCACTTTCCAATACAACCCCTAACTCTCACACGTCTCGGCTCTGCAGATTTCCTTTTTGACATTGCTTCTACAATCCCCCCTGCATTTTGTGACTCCAAATCGCAGACAAATCCTTCCAAAATAGCATGCCGTTGATAAGCCTTGCTTTGAGGAATCCAGCTAGCAAGTCTGTTTGCCACAATCCTGTAAGTCAGATGTAAAAATACGATGAGGAAGGCAGGTTATCACCTTGTGTCGTGGTCACCTATGAAGACTTCAGCCTGTTCCAGTCTTCACAGCTCCCTTATTTTTCTGTTTTCTGTTCTAGGACCTGGTGCCCTTTTGAAAGGCTGGTCATGTCAGTTGGTAGATAAATGGCAACCCATTAGGAGTCTCACCTCCAGTGCCGATATAGGAATCGAGTCAATTAATCCATTAATCCGTTACTTAGAACTAATGAAAAATGTGAGCAGAGTTTTGCCACACCTGAGCTTGCATGTTAATCAGCCTCCTTGTGTAATCTTTAAACTCTGCTCAGTCTCCGACGCGCCTCCATCCTTCACTGGTCTTGATTGGAAAATTCACAGCGCCAAGTGACTTCAAAGAGGCAAAAGCCGAAGCTGTTTTGGTACCAAGCGATGTGAAAATCAGCAATAAGCACTGGGCTCGGGCTCTGTCCCCCCCCTTCAATCAGCTGGAGCCGGGGGGTTGGTTTGAAAACCAAGTGAGATTGCAATTGGGCTGCTTGGTTCCTCCTGCCGATGCTACCCAAGTTTGGAGATATGTTACAGGGTTAAAAGGGAAGGGTCTCCTGATTTCACACCCGGTTTAGGACACTACTTCCTCTGCTTTGTTGGCGACTCCCCAATTTGGGTGGGAGGCAAAGACCCTGGGAGTTAGGCTGGACCTTGACAACGGCATAAAACCAGCTCCAGGCCCCTCTTTTCTCCGCTCTCTCTCCAGCTGGGAGTTTGCCAGGAGTTTGCCCACAAAAAGAAATTCCCATGAAGCTTCAGCAAGAGCTACCAAGTGTGTCCGGTCACTTCTCACCTCCCAACACGTCTGCATGTTTATGGGCTCTTCCATCCAAGTGGCCCAAACCTCTTCTCCACTGCCTCTTTTCTTTTATTTGGCCCTAAATCTGATGCAGTAACATAAAGCCCGAGGGTTGCCCAAGCACAAGAGCACCTGGGGCCCAGCATCAGTTTGAAATCGGAAAGTGCATCCATCTATGAGAACTGGAGCCAAACCATCCCATGCAAATCCATTGCCCAACCTCTTAGCAAAACTACACGGTCAACCCTGACACAACCACAAAACATAGCACCCCAGCCTGCCACAGATAAAGCAGAAGGACCGTGGAGGACAATGTCTTGCGGCTGTGAAGGATGCACGGGAGCTCCGAATCAGACCTTCAATGCTGGAGGCTGCAAGTGAGAGAGGATTGGTGGGAAAAAACATATTCAGACCCAATTCACATTCCCTTTCCGGGGAAGTATGGCCCAGGAGACCAGGCAAGGTGACCCTATGGGCTGACCCAGTACGTGGCGGCTCTTATGTTCTGCAAATACGCTTGAGAGAGCCAAGGAAGGGAGCCATGTCCACCGTCCATCAGGGCTTGAGCTCCGCTGTTGCAGCTGTGGAAGAGCCAGTCCTGCTGTGTTATTTTTTGAAACAAGGAAAAGGGTGCAGGGAGGGGGGAGCAATCCCTCAGGAAGCACCCTGCCACCCGAGCAGGCCCTCGTACCCCGGCGAAGCGTGATTCATGCCTGCCCGTGCGGTGATGGATCTCCACGCCAGACTTGGCAAGCAGTCAGCAAAATTCATCAGCAGCTCATCGAGGCAGCGCGCCGAGAGTTCACGGGGAGTTTAGCCCGTGAACTGTTGAGGGTTAATGGCAATCTGAGCATATTGAGCGGCGCAATTACTAAATAATGAACTTTTCTCTCCAATAAATTTGCCTTTGACTTATAAAAAAATCTTTAACCTGTCAGTCTTCAGTCATTTTTTTTGGAATAGAAACTCAGAATAATTTTTAATCTGCTCTTCCCCTCCCCCCCCCCCCTTTTTTTTTTTAAATGCGACCACTTATACAAAGCCTCCGATGTGCCATATTTATAGCAGCTTCATCACCCGGATAGATTTGTAGGTGGGTGCCTGCCTACTGCTTGGTTTCATCATTTCATTTTTTCCAGTCTCTCCCCACCCTCCACCCTCCCTTCCCTGTGCTTTTTTATTATCCTATCACCAGCCCCGATCTACAGGAAGGTTTTCATGGGCTGAGGAATGTCTAAGAGGTCAGGTCAATTGGGACGGAGCCAAAAATATTAGCGCTTGCTAACCACTGGAGAGAGCAATTGAAATAATACTTAGTGGTTTTAAAATGCTACAGACTTTGAACTGTGAGAGGAAGGATAGATCTTTTGTTTTCTTAAAGCAAACAGAGCTGGGCTCAGGTCTTGATTATGCCTTAGCACCCCAGGGGAGATATTACTTAGTCTCCTTTATGTCTTAGCTCCATCCTGCAAAGGGAATTATAACCCTCTTCCTCTGTGGCATGGTCTCCCACCTATTTAAACAGTGAGCTGTGCAGAACAGGGACTCACACGACATTTTGGGCACTTCCTGGCAGGACAGGGCATCTTGCCTGCAGCTTCTATTCTTCTACGTGCAATAATATCAGTTCGGTGCGTTTGGAGTTGGGAGGGGGTTACCAAAGGGGAATCGAGTCACCTTTGTGCGCTCCTGTTCTTGGATCCATCTGGGCTAGTCCAGATGCCAGGTGTAGAGGACTGGGGTGTAGGTGACCTAGCCTAAGCGTCGGGCCACTGAGAGAAAGTAGAGGCCGTATACCAAGGCCAGAGGGAGATCCAGAACCAGGGTCCATGGCAGTGCAGGGTCAGGATCTATCTGGGGGTCAGATGCCAAGTCTCAAACCAGGGGGCAGTCCACAGGGCGAAGTCCAAAACCAGAGCCAAACCAGGAAGCAGAACTGCAGGGAAATCCAACGCTGAAGTGCAGAAATTGTCTAAAAACCAGGGTGGGGGACCAGAGGGCAGGACGCAGGAGGCTTTCTACCGCAGAACTGGTGACTGGCTTGCAGACCCCAGGCTGCAGCCAGTGCTAAATGGATAGGAGGTGCTCCCAGCAGCCTACCAGGATGCTAAACTAACACCAGGTGTCATTCAGAGCACTTTATAGCAGGGTTGGACCCAGGCTCAGAGGGCCAGTGTGGTATTCAGGGATGTCCCAGTGCACCGACTTGGGTCATAGGGAGGAGGGCAGCAAGGATACCACCAGGTTGTCTCCAAATTCCTATTGCTGGAATAACTCCTGTGATGTTATGATGGACAAGGGCGATGTAGTAGATTTAGGATGCAGACTTCCCCGGGTCGGGTCCTGCGTGGCCACTGGGCAGCTCGGGCCCATATTCATTTTCCAAGCAATGTTCTCTGTTTTTTTTGCACAGTCTGTTAAAGCAAGAATAAGGCAGAGGTGGAAATCAGCTGAATTACCGACCACGATGAATGTGGCCCAGTGTCTCTGCCATCATGAGACTTTGCCACCCATCAGAGGATGGTTCGTGAGCACAAGTAGAAGACTGTAGTGGGAGCTAGCTTGATTCCAGCAAGACGTTCGCAATGCAAGAGAGGTTGACTGGGTGATTGTGTCTCCATCTTCTATTGCCAAGTTGGTGCACTGGAACAGCTTGCCTAGTGCATGAGGACATGCCGGACTAGAGTCATGCAGTGCATGGAGACATTTCCAAGCTAGCGTTAAACCAGCTAGTTCAGATACTGCTCTATCCAATACTGCACAGCCAGGTAGATACGCTGGCAGATACTGAGCTCTGTGCAGTTTTGGCTAGACCACTAGCACTACTGATGCTGCCTTGTTTAAAGCTAGCTTGGGTTATGTCTGTATGAATTGCAGTCGACCCTCCAAACCAGACCCTGGGCTTGGAGGAGGATCAGCTTGGACAAGCCAGGCCTCGTATTGACAGGCTATGGGGGAAAGCCACCAGAAAAAATGACAAAGATAATGCCCAGACGTGTCCTTCAGCTGTGGATCTAGAGTAACGTATGGCTCTGTCATCTTGAGACAAGACTAGGAAGGTAATCTGCTTGGGCGCGCCCAAAGAGGGGGCGAGGGTAGAAAGCTGCAGGCTGTATATGCATTGCCTCAGGCTGCTCTGACTGCCTGCCCAGCAGGTGGGAGGGCACGGACCTGTCGTACCGATGAAATATATTGATTTGGGCAATGACATGGGGAGCTGGCAACGGCAAGGCTCTCTGCTATGGCGTTCAAGGATGCTGCATCGCAGAAGAAAACCTGTGAGGTGGGGGAAGGCACGAAGAAGGGTTGTGTCTCTTCATCCAGACCCCAAGTAAATGCCTCTGCCCTAGTAAGTGCACAGTGTTGTAAATCCTGTCCCCAGCACCTGTGGAACTGAATTAAACTCTGAAACCCACTGGGAGTGTCTACATGTGCTATTAATGAGTTTACTGTGCAGTAAGCTTTCCCTGGGAGCACGTCTACGCGTGTGCCTGTCGGCAGCAATTTTCTCCCAATGGGAGCAGTTCATTCCTCCCCTGCTCTGCCTCCCTATAGCAGCCAAAGGGAGCTCCAGGCTCCTCTGGGTGCCAGCCCCATACTGTCAGGAGGCACCAGGGTTCAGGCCTAGGCTTTGGGGGGCAAGGGGAGCTGCCCCACCTCTGGACCAGCTGCTTCCCAGCCCTGCATCCCAAGCAGCTGGGGTGGGGTCTGGGAAACAGTCCCCTACCCTGGGCAGCTGCCTGCGTCCCAGCTTGGGAGAGGTGACAGTTCCCACGCCCTGTGCTATCTGGGGTGACCAGGGGCAATTTGCTCCAGGGCAGCTGTCTACACATGTGCTACTGGACAGTAGTTACTGCACAGCAAATGTACTGCCTGTATCTATAGGTAGTAGCCAATTGTGCAGTAGAGTAATTTATTGTGCAGTAAATGCTGCGCACGTGTAGACTGTGACACTTTACTGCGCAGCAGATTAGTCTGTCGCTCAGTAAAGCGTCTCATGTAGATACACCCACTGAAGTGCAATTCAAAGCTCTAATCTTTTTCCATGGGCTGTGGCAGGGATAGCAGACTGTGGAGGGGACAGGCAGCAGAGCAGTGGAAAGGGCAGGAAGCAGAAAGCAGAGCAGTAGAGCAGGCAGGGAGCAGAGAGCAGAGCAACAGATTGGTCGAGGGAAGAGGGATTGGAGGGGCGCTCAAGGAGGAGGCAGGGCTGATTTCTGGCATGCCTATCAAAAGGTTGGCAACATCCAAATCTAAGACCTGCTGCTGTAAGTAAGGTCTGGATATTTCCCCAGGGAGGTTTCATGTCTCCATTGCATTTGCTACAGCGCCGGGTCTGTGGCAGCTGCTGAGAGCGGTGGCCTGTGAGATAAACGCCTTTCAGCTCCTCCTCTGCATGCTTGAGACCAGTCAGCCAGTTACTTTCTACAAATCCCCATGCTGTGCA